GAGAGAGAGAGAGAGAAGAGGAGAGAGAGGGAGAGAGAGAGAGAGAGAGAGAGAGAGAGAGAGAGAGAGAGAGAAAGACATAGAAATACATAAAGAGAGAAAGAAAAAGCAGAGACAGAGGAGAAATACCACCAGCCAGGCAGAGGCAGACAGGAGGGGGGGAGAGAGATGGAGAGAGAGAGAGAGAAAGAGAGAGAGAGAGAGAGAGAGAGAGAGAGAGAGAGAGAGAAGAGAGAGAGAGAGAGAGAGAGAGAGAGAGGGAGGGGGAGGGGGGAAACAAGTTCTGTTTAGCGGCACTTTCAAATATTCATTTTTGTAATATAATTTCGCACTTTATTGTTAACTCTTATATACATCTATTAGGAGAACACATTCTTTTGAAGAGGGAAATATGTTAGTGGGTTTTAGTTAAGTTAGTAGAGGAAAATATGTTCTTGGTATGTTTCTTCCATTTAATATTGTTTACATTAAAGGAACATAATTGCAAAACAAACGTAAGAAAAGTAATTGTGTCATCGGCAGAAGCAGTGACACTCTAATTATGCTGTCATTAATGCATTAATTGGTAAAAGGTAACCCTGAATTTGTTATGATATAAAATTCTAAGGGAATAAAGCCACAAAATAGTTTGTTGGTTGTGAGGTAGTGAGAAGTTGTGTTTATGTTAGAGGTGAAGTACTTGTGGACGATCTTGATGGTTAATTGCCACCAGTTGTCAGCGTCAGAGGTTGGGAACTTAGAGCAGGTGAGTGAAAGGGGACTTTGCTGGAGGGTGTATTAGGAGAGGTAGATGTGTGACCCCTGGAGAGATCCGTGCCCAGGTGCCGAGGGCGGAGCGGTGACGGGAAAGACCGTCGTCTGCCTGCCGTCTGCCGTGTCTTCGTCTGCTCTCCTCTCTTGTCTGACGGCCGTGTCCTTTTGTGCTGGCTCCGGGAGATGTTTGTTTCAGTCTAGACAAAGGGAGTTAGTTCAAAGGGCTTGCTCGAGGGGGAGATGTAGGTCACCTTAGGTCAACCAGGCTCAGGTGTGGAAGGTGCGAATCGAGTGAAAAATAACAAAACAAAATGTTCATGAGACCGACTCCCAAAAGTTACCTAGTTCTCCCAATAATTGGTACTGACCCCCTTGATTTATCATTGTCCTGACATCTGCATATCTGGATCTATCCTCTCCGACGAGATCCTCACACGGATGATTAACCGAGGGGCGGATATTTTGAGATTTCTGGTCAGGATGGCCTCGTCCTCCAAGATGGCCGCCACGAGGTAGCATCCTCGTCCGGCTGCTGCTGTGATTATTTTTCCCTGTTCGGAGTGAGGCAACAACAAACTGATTATATAGTACATACATATCTATGCACCTTCCCCCCTATTATTGAACATGTTACAATTCCCTGTCACCTTTATTTAACTGTGAATACCGCTCTCGACGAGGAGCGTCTCTCACTCCCCCCCCCCCCCCCCCCCCCCCTTAGCAACAGGCCCTTCCCTCAAAATACACCCAGTCCAGCACGAACAACAAAAGAAACATATCCCCCATGACTGGTATACTATTTACTGGGCACGAAGCTTTTACTATATTCAAAATAGAATACATACATACATACACACACACACACACACACACACACACACACATACATATATATATATATTATATATATATATATATATATATATATATATATATATATATATATATATATATATATATATATTCTGTTCAGAATGAGACCATTTTTGACGTTTATAATAATAATAATAATAATAATATCAATTATTATTGTCTCACCTCAAATAGGGGTTGATGGTCTCTGAAGTTGCTCTTGTTCCTTCACTCACTCCCTCCCTCCCTCCCTTCCTCCTTTCTCCCACTTCACTTCACTCTTGTTCCTTCACTCACTCTCTCCTTCCTCTCTTCCTCCATCACTCCTTTCTTCTCAGCTTCTCCCTCTCTTTTCTTTCCTTCACTCCTCTTCACCCTTCTTTCCTTCAACCTTCTCTTCTCACTCTTTCGCATTATTCTCTCCCTTCTTCTGTTTATTCCTTCCAGCCTCTACTTGCGATCCTTCCATTTACCCTCCCTCCCTCCCTCCCTCCCTCCCTCCCTCGCTCTACCTCTTCTCTCCTTGCCCTCCCACCTTCCCTTCCGTTTCCTTAATAGAAGAGAGATCCCGTCCAGCTCCTTGTAAAATAAAAATATCAGGAACTCAAGACTTAACTTTCTTATTTACTGTGACTCTGGCAATTGTTTTCAGGTAAAAAAGGTAAAAAATAACATTTCTAAATAACGTTCTCAGGTAAAAAAAAAAAAAAAAAAAAAGGATAGTAATACATGCACAGACTGATATAGACTGTATTTGGAGGGATACTGGGTCATATGTATACACTGTATGACGTCATCAGTCACGTAAAATAATAGAAAATAAAATCAGATTACAATAAGAAAAAAAAAATGAAGTGGGATGTCGAAATATAGATTAAGAGAAACATACAAATACGAGAAAAAAAATCAGATGTACATAAATAATTTGACATGTGCCTGCACTCTAGGATGAGTCAGCAAGCAATCTATCTTATGATAAATAGGGTAATAAGAAAAAAGTAAAAAAACAACAACAAAAAACTAAACAAAAAGATACATTATTACTCAATATATCCAATAAGAACTGGTTAAAAAATAACAGACGCAGTAAAAGCAAAAGTATATACAAAAAGAAACCAAGAGAACGACTCTCAGACAGGATAAAACTAAAACACAAAATGAGAAATAAACAAACAAACAATATATGTAAAGAAAGAGCAAAACAACAAAGGCAAAAACAGCCGATAAACAAAAACGTGATTTTTTTTGACATCGCTATTGTAGAATGCTCATGGGCAGTGTTGCAAAGGATTCCTTACACATATACATACATACATGTATGTGTATACATATACAGTATATGTATTTATGTATACATATACATATGCAAACACATAAGTTTTTATATATGTACATGTGTGTAAACATATATATACATACATACACTTATAATTATGTATGTATGTATATATAGATACATACATATATACATTTATAGATATGTGTGCATGTGTGTATATGCATATGCACATGTATAAGTATGCATATGTATATGTATCTGCGTATGTATATACATATGTGTACGAATATGAACACGTACTGTATTTGTATGACGAGCGAGTATATGTATATGTACCTGTGTATGTATATGCATATGTATATGTATCTGTGTATGTATATACATATATGTACGAATATGAACACGTACTGTATTTGTATGACGAGCGAGTGATTGCTTGCCTACGAATCGGCGAACATATGTTGAGAAACCCGACGGGAAATTCGTAAAAAAAAAAAAAAAAAACATTCCTTATAAAAGTACAAGTTTGAGAGGCGGAATACAGCGTGCGAAGTGCGAGCTGCGACAAGTGCGATTCCTGTTCGGATGTTAAACGTAAGAAATGAATCGATTTATTCCAGACTTGCATCGCACTCCAAATGGTATACAAAAAAAAAAAAGAAACAAAAACAACATAAAAGTCTAACCTATACAGTAATAATGTTTTAAAAATAAAATACAATAAAAATAAATAAAAAAAAAAATAAAAATCAAAACGTAGAAGAAATAATTATAGGCAAAGAACAGGAACAAACGAAAAATTTCAAGTAAAATGCTCTCAGTCGCCCCCCCCCCGTGTTATGGCTACTACGATGCGGTATCTCTCGTCTTCAAAACGTTTCGCGACATTTTCTTATCTTACAGCCACCGGGCGCACCGTACAGCGTACCATCCTGACTGAATACCTCTGCAGCTGTTCATTCTAGCTGTAGTGATCCCGCAGACAAGTCTTCGTGGGCATTTGATATCCACATTTGATATCCACATTTGATATCCACACGAAAGTGAGTGCAGAAGTTGTCTGTGTTTCGTAGCGTCCAATAACAGTGCTTGTTTGAAAGGACAAGGATCTGTACGCTTTAACGCATTAATTAAACAAGAAAATCGACTAATGGCTTATAAAACCTATTGACATAATGTTCATGCCATTTTCTTTAAAATCTTCATCGGTATTCTTTTCCGTTTACACTTCCTCTCATTATTATCATGCAGTAATATCGTCGTCATCGCCAACACACACAATTAACATCGTTTTCGTTTTTCACTCCTTTCCCCCCGTCTCTCTCTCTCTCTCTCTCTCTCTCTCTCTCTCTCTCTCTCTCTCTCTCTCTCTCTCTCTCTCTCTCTCTCTCTCTCTCTCTTTTTCTCTCTCTGTGTAAGATTTCTTGTATTAAATTATGTGTTAATTTTTTTTGGTCTCGAGTTGGATAATAGAAGTAGAGCAGATTTTGAGTCTGAAGATATTACTGATTTCAATAATTTATTATTCTGAATATATTTTAAATCTTGTTTTAGAGCAAAACGTTCAGCTTCTATTATTTCAGTATTGTTCGGTAATTTCCATATTGTTGTTATTTTTTTTTTCTTGAATGTAAATTGCTGCTGAAGTAGAGTTAATACTGTTTATTTTTGAGCCGTTGTATATATTATATATTATATATATATATATATATATATATATATTATATGTATTTAGTTTTCTAACATTGCATAATGTGATTTTAATTGCTCTGGGAGATTTTTTTCTTGATAGTCCAAAAATTTTGTATTTATATTTTCAAAAATGTCCTACCATGGTGGAATGGGAGTTATGTTTGGCACTGCTTTTGTTTTTATATTTATTTGTAATTCCTTACAAGTTTCTAAGACTCTGTGTATTAAGCTTCTTTTGTCTTTTATGGATTTGTATTCTATTTGTTGTTATCAGTTTTTTATTTGAGTATTTTCTGTTTTTTTTCTGGTATTTTTAACATTTGAGTTAATTCTTGTTCTTTGAATTTGTTTTTAGTAGACATCTTATTTGTTAGGGTGTATGAAGTTGTGACTGGAGTTGTTATTAAGCAACCTGTGGCTATTCTTGAGGTGTTATTTTGGATAGTTTCTATTTTTTTTTCATTTCTGTGTTATTTGTTGTGCCATAGATTGCTACACCATATTCTATTTTTGGTTTAATAAAGATGTCATAAAACTTTATCATCGTTTCTCTATTAGCTCTCCATGTGGTATTTGATAGTTTTTTTTTTCATTATATTTATTCTATTTGAAGATTTTATTTTTAAGTCATTGATGTGATTTCTCCATGTTAGTTCTGGAGCGACGAATTCCAGTCCTAGTATTTTGTGTTTGGTCGTCAATTTTAGTTCTTCATTGTTTATCTTTATTGTTGGTATCTGTCTTTATTTTTGTTTTTTGTGAAGCATATGATTTTACTTTTTGTTAGATTTATTTTTAGTTCCCAATTATTAGCCCATTCTATGATTCGTTTTAAACCTATTTCTATTTTGTTTTTGGCTTCTGCTTGGTCTTTGTGAGTTGTTAATACTGTGATATCGTCTGCATATATTACTTTAAATGTATTTTTTTTTCTGTTAGCGTTAGGTCGGTAATCATTATGTTGAATAGAAGGGGACTTAGAGGGGAACCTTGTGGTAGTCCTCTCTTTGTTTTACCTTCTTCTGATATTTTGTTGCCTATTGTTATTTTATATGTTCTGTTATTTAAAAAAAAAATATATATATATCCATTTAAGTGGGGTGCCCATTATTCCGAGTTTTGATGCTTTTTTTATGATGGCTTTATAGTTTACTGTGTCGAATGCTTTTTTTAAGTCTAAATATGTTATTATTGCGTTTTTTTTTTTCTTTGTAGGTTTTATTAATATGTAAATCTATTATTTGCAGAGTATCTATTGTGGAATAATTTGGTCTAAATCCTGTCAGGTCTTGGCTTAATTTATTATTACTTTCCAACCACCATTTCAGTCTATTTTTCATATATTTTTCCAAGGCTTGAAATCCTGCTTATAAATCTGTAGGATTTTTTATCTGTTGTTTTTTTTTCCTGGTTTTAGTATAGGGTTAACTAATGATTTTTTTAATTCTTGGGGATATTCCCCTTTTCCCCATAAGTTATTAAACAATTTTTACTATTATATTATTCTGGGCATTTTTATAGAATTCATAAGGGATTTTGTCTGGCCCATATGTTTTATTATTTTTTTTTGCATTCTTTATTGTTTTGTTAATTCTTTTAACGTGAGTTTTTTTAAATTTAAGCCTTCTGTACTTGGTTGTTCTGTTATGCTTTTAAATTCAGTATTTGTTAACAAGCTTTTTGTATTTTTGTTTATTATACTTTGAAATTCTTCTTTTAGTAGTGTTAGTTTGAGTTCTGTATCTTGGACCGGTAGGTCATTATGAATTATTGGGTAATTATTGATTTTATTATTACCTTCTAGTTTTTAAATAAATTTCCTTATTTTTCTTGATGGGGTATTTAACTCTAGTGACTGACAGAACAGATTCATTCTTGAGGAGCATACAACACCAGTGTTTACATTGGGGTTACGTACGCATGCAAAATATGAGGGAATACGTGAGTTGTATCATAACATAAAGTAAATTAATCATATTATTTCAAAGGAAATAATTATGAGTGATCATATGACACTATCTCATCTCCTCACTCTCCCTTCTCCCTTCCATCTTTATTTCCTTCCTTACTCCTTCCTCTCTTTCTCCCCGCCCCCTCTCTCCCATTTTCTTTCTTTAAACTCATCGTACGCCCGACACCTCAGGGAATTCGGTCAGTAGTTGCCAGAAGTCACTATTCTCAAAGATAGTAACGTCATGGCCAAAGCTTGCCAAGGAATTTTGAACATAAACTACTGTGAAAATTACCGAGGACACGACATGCAGTATGCAAATTACTGTTCGGTCTATTATTGATAATTCGTAATGGTCAGCACCAGGGGAATGAGGGCACTTCTCGATGTATATTTGTTCTGATATCAGATATGCTTTTAGAGCTGAGGGATTCCCCGCCAGGGTTCTCGTCCTGCGCAGCCACTTGCTCGCACAACAGTTTTCTAATAGCGTAAACAAAGAAAACAAATAGATATCAATGGGGGACTGAAGAAAATTTTACATACACAAAATGATGGTAATAAAAAAAAAAAAAAACTTCATATAACAAAATAAGACAATGTATTTTAGAAAACAACTGCAACACACACACACACACACACACACACACACACACACACACACACACACACACACACACACACACACATACACACACACACATATATATATAGTATTTACATATACAGTATTTACAATTTAATTTGAAAACAAAACAAAAAAAACTTTTATATATATATATTTTTTTTTTAAAATCTAACCAACTGTAGATGTGATTTAAACTTGACACATCCTCCTGCAACTTTTATCATTTCAGAAGATAATATGAGGGATGTGAGAGTAGAAGTTGATATTTTATTTCTGATCTTTGATTTCAACAAGTTTACCTTCGAGAATAACCTTTCCACAACAACATTAGATGTAGGTAAACTTAATATTTGTAGAGCAAATTCGGAAATGGTTTCGAACATGCGATGTCCGAGCTCATCCCGAAGGATCCCGATTGCTGTAAAAAAATGTTTCCAGGTTTATATTATTCCTCATTTCTTCCGGAATTAGATTAAGGTCTACTGCTCTCCATTCATTATCCAGATGTTGTGGATTAGTACAGATCCTCGGAAAAAGCAGTGACAAGGTCTCTCAGAGATGGCATGACACTCTAGATCCTTCACCAGAAAGTTTTGGGGGACACTTTTGGGGGACAAAAATGTGGCACATTTGAAACTGCTTGTTTGCAAGAGGGAACCTTTTTTCATTTCTTAGCGAGCAATGATGAGAAATTGTTCGCAGGAGCTGAATACATTCTCTAGCAAATCTTGGTTGTGTCTGTATTCTTCTGATTGTATGAGCCAGTGCGTTTCTGATCCAAGATACATCTGGTAAAATGGAAGATGATGTGAATCGTTCTCAATATCAATGGAGATGTTCTATCGTCTGCCTTATGTAATTATTTCATTTCTCTTTATAAAGCATCACAACAAATCTGTGTAGAGTTCATGGCACTTTTTTGTGTAGGACTTGGATGGTTGGTCCTTGCTGTTGGAAGAGTAGGTTGAGCTGGTTGAATTTAGGCAAAATTAAATTAAGAAAAGTATAATAGAGTTTTGTAAGGTTCGTTCATTGTGTCCAATATGCTTATTGTTCTACAGTCTTTCCTCTGCCCTGATATTAAAGAAATACAGTTTGAGAGGCTCCCACTGTTCCAGCAACCTTTTTACAGCCGCATGGTATGATAACCCCCTTGTCTGGTACACATGAAATAATTTGTGAGGTTTTACATCACAAAAATCTTGAAATTCTTTGAATATATGAATTCTTTTGGCGCAATGGGAGAAATGGTTGCGTCTATTCCTCACAAGATCTTCACATTTGCGAGGAAGACATTTGGCGGCTTGGGAAGAGCACAAATGTACAGAATGACGAATACATTTTAATATGGTAATTCCACTACATTTGACATTAGTACTTACAGTTGGTGTCGATCTCTAGAACTCAAAGAGGAGCATGTTTCCATAGCTAAGTCTCAATAGCTTCTTGAAAATACAAACGTGGTGTGAAAATAGGCACATATTTTTCATCAAATTATTTGTAGAATAATTGATTCAAACCATAGGAAATCATTATTTATTGTGAAAATATCAGCAAAGCCATTTACTATGAAAAAAAACGTAAAATACATTTTTGCGAACATTTTGCACGCCTGAGTGAGTGTTGCGGTCCGCAAATCTTCGGGTGTTGCTTCCCGCGCGTCAAATGTTCGCATAGCAGACGAAAATTGTATGCATCGGTAACACTGTTCCCCGAATGTTGTGATTACCCCCCCCCCCTACACTGCTGCCTTCAGAACACCTGGTCTTGCTCGTCCGGACAACCTGTCAGGCCGAGCGGGACAACGAGGCCGCGGTCCGACCCCCCCCCCCCCGAGGCCTTCATTACCCACAATGCATTATTATACCAGTCTTTATTCTCTACACCGCATAGGTTTATAATCACTGTGATGCCAGAGCCTCTCTCCAACAGACAAACACTAAAATAACTTTTGATAACAACGGTTATCGTTATCTTCTGGTTGCCCGCAACTTTTAATGTGTTTATACAGATGCTGTTGTGACGAGAGGAACAACAGGTCCTGGACGACAAAGTATGCTTCCGAACGGTCAAGACTTCTTGTACAACTCTCTCTCTCTCTCTCTCTCTCTCTCTCTCTCTCTCTCTCTCTCTCTCTCTCTCTCTCTCTCTCTCTCTCTATATATATATATATATATATATATATATATATATATATATATTATATATATATATATATATATATATGTATGTATGTATGTATGTGTGTGTGTGTGTGTGTGTGTGTGTGTGTAATCATTATCTATTTCCTCTCTTCCTCCTTGTATCTAATTTTGAAACGCTTCTTTGGCTCCACAAAGTAATAGTAAGTAGAAAACTTATAATACGTTGCATGTAATTGTGTCTTGACTTATTTACCTTATTTTTATTTCATTTTTATTTTAGATGTCCGACCCAGCTGACCCGTTCGAGAATTTTGCAGGAAAACTTCTCATGCTTGCGATGGACAAAGCGCCTGAGTTAATCAAACTCGTCCTGGAGTATTACAAGCCGAGCAAGGAATACGAGAAACTTGCACAGGTTAGTGGAAAAAGAACAATACAGTGAACCCTCGCTATAACGCGGTTCACCTTTCGCGTTCTCGCTGCTTCACCGGATTTGCATTGTGCATTGTGTTCTGCATTCTGATTGGCTAAACAGTCTCTCCGCTTCTTCTCTACCTGTGCGTCAATAACGTTACGGTTTAATATGTACATGTACGTAAAACAGTTTGCCAAATTTAAGATTGCAAATTTTCTCTAAAACCCATGAAGCCTTCGGTTCGTATTGATGATTAAAATTATTATTTTACAGTGCAGTAGTTATTTGTAAAAAAAAAACGTTTATACAGTACTTTTATTTGTTAAACAAATGCTTGGGCCTGTAAAAATCTTTTGTTCTTTGGTTTCAATGTATTGTAGAGTATTTCATTGTATAATGTGTAAAAAATAAAGGTTACTACTTCACGGATTTCGCCTATCACGGGTTCTTTTTGGAACGTAACCCCCGCGAAAAACGAGGGTTCACTATAGATGGAGAAGGAGGGAAGGGAAGGGAAAGAGAAGGAGGGAGGGAAAGAGAGAGAGAGAATAAATAGGAATAGGGAGGTGAGGCAGAGAGGTAGAAAAGGGAAAGGAAGAGGGCGATATGTGGAGGGAGGGAAGGAGAGGGAGGAAAATGGAGTAAGGAAGGAAGAGAAGGCAAGAATAGGGGAAGAGAAGAGAGGGAGGAAGGGAGGGGGAGGAGATGCAGGGAGGGAAGAGTGGAGAAAAAAGAAAAAATGGAGAGGGAGAGGGGGACAGAAGGGAAGGGAAAGAGAGGGATGGATGATTGGATGGAGTGAAGGAGGGGAAGGGGATTGGAGGAGGGGAAGGAGGGAAGGGTGGAGAAGGAGAGAAATGGAGGGAGGAAAGAAAGGGAAATAAAGGGATGGATGGAGAAAGGGGAGGATAGATGGAGGGAGGAGGAAGGGAAATGTACGGAAGGGAAGGGTAGGGAAAGGGAGGGAGGGAAAGGAAAGGGAGAGGCAAAAGAATGAGGGGAGGGAGGGAAAGCGAGGAAGAAAGGGAAAGGAAAGATAGGAGGGAAGGGAGGGGGGGGGAGAAATAGAGGAAGGAAGGGAAGGAAAGAGAAGGGAATGGAGAGAATGAGGAGGGAGGGAGGGAGGGGGAGGAGAGAGGGTAGGAGGGAGGGAGGAGGAAGGAGAGATGGAACGGAGGAAGGGAGGGAGGAAGGAGAGATGGAACGAGGAAGGAAAGACGGAAAGAGAAGGGGGCAAGGAGAGAAGAGATAGAGCAAGGGAAGAAGGGAAGGAATAACGAGTTAAGGTGAGAAGAGAAGGATGAAAGAAAGCAAAAGGGAGAGGGAGAAGCTGGGAAGAAAGGAGGGAGAAAGGGACGGAGTGATTGAGTGAGTGAATGAGTGAATGAGAAAGAGAGAGAAGAGAGGAGAGAGAGAATGAGGGAGAGAGAGAGAGAGAAAGAGAGATAGAGAGAGTAAAAAAAGAGGAGAGTGAAAGAGAGAGAGAGAGAGAGAGTGACAGCAATGGAATGGAGAGGTGGAAAAAGAGAAAGAGAGAGAGAGGGAGAGAGAGATGAGAAGAGAGAGGTGGGTAAGAGAAAGAGAGAAAGGGGAATACACACACATAAAATACATATCACACACACACGCATACATATGCATAAATGTACATGTCAGTAATTGTGTGTGAATTTATATAACATAATGTACTTCACTTAACAGGAGATATGCACCCTTCGGGGGGTACAAGAGAGGACTTCAGAGACCATCAATACCCTTACTAAGGTGAGACAATAATAATTACATTAATGATTGTCAAAACAAAGTTTACGCACTTGTTTGATAAATCTGTTCTTGAGGACATAGGTAAAAGGAACATACTTTTCCCAGTTTTATTTTTACGTATATTTGTATTTTGTCTCTCTCGCCCTTCTTTTTGTTTTCTTCTTCGTTTTCTGATTTTCCAGCTCCTCTCTCTCTCTCTTCTTCTTCTTCCTCCTCCTTCTCCTCCTCCGTTCTTCCTCCTCCACTACCTTGAGCTTCAGACAGTTTTCCTTTAAACCCCGTTGTTTTGCAGAGCCAAGACAAATTGAGCCAACGATTCCAGCTGCTGGCAGAACTGACGACAGCGCAAGATGACCTGCCTTCAGGGTATGGGCGACGCCTGCAAGATCACGTTCACGGCCTTTGGTGTCTAGAGGGCCTCCACCAGGACCTCGACGTCCGTGTGGAGAAGGCAAGGCGTCGTTTTCTGCATCTGTCTCTTCGTTCGTCTAATTCCTTCCTCTTGTCTTTTTCTTTGTGTTGGTTTCTAGGTATACGGTATATACAATCAAACAAATACAATTCAAGAAACAAACAGGCACATGTATTATAATACATGCGTGTTAATAGCTACTTTCTTTTTCTTCTAGGGAAATGTTTATTGATCAGATCAGCATTATGAGGACAGATCTGAAAACCAGGCAATGTTCATTTATAAACATTTACAGCAACCTTTATATGGTTTGCATCTTTGTCGGTTTAAAAAGTAGCAATAGTATCGTTGTACGTATTTTTTTTTCTTTGGAAATAAAACAAAACAAATGGCGAAGGAGAGAAATCTGTGAACGATATGCAAATATCTCGTTTAATCCTTTTGGGGGGCTGTCAAGGTTCGATTGTGAGGTGGATCAGATCGGCCAGTTTGACAGTGAAACAGAGGAACAGAGGAAACATACTAGAGGAATACAATCAAAAGCACTATTTACGCTATACACAACACAGAGGTAGCAGGTGCAGGCAAGGTCACATGGCGAGCGAGGTCGTTTGTCTTGATCACGGGAGTACTGGAGAACTTCCGGGAGAACTGACGATTTATTATATATATATATATATATATATATATATATATATATATATATATATATATATATATATATATATATATATATATATACCGAGTTTCGCTTATGCCACCCGGTGTTGATGTTATTCTTCTGTGTATGTTATATTAAATTAGTGTTATATCATAAGTATATCAGTGAATCCATGGGCAACGGTAGTTGTACATGGCCGTATCACCTAGGAGGCGCAAAAGAGAGAGGCTTTGGAAGGTTTCTTCGTTGTCTAGCATAGTTTTAATGCATTGGGCAGCCAGTCGAGCCTTTGCTTCAACAGCTGAAAGCGGTAAATTTCGTAAATGAGTGGGCGTATGCTGATCAGTACTGGGCATTCACGTGTATAGTGCAGGGGAGGTTCGTTAACGAGATCATCACATTGATCACATCCTTTGGGAACACGGACGACAAATTCCCAATTGCACCTGTAGCCAAGCCTTAGTCTGTGGATGATGACCGCCACCCGTCTTGGCAATGACTTGGGAATAGTGATGGTCTCATGATCAGTGACGATTTGGTACCATGTAGCTGATGGGGAGCCAGCCTCTACCCAGACAAGGTGTTTAGTTCTAGCGATTTCTTTAGCAGTGGCCCAGGCACGCGATTTGAGGCTGCCAAGACTGGGTTTAATTCTCCTGATGTGGTTATGAGTCAGGCTGTCTTTCGCAGCTCTGTCGGCTGTTTCGTTACATGACTTGGTATCCACATGTAGGTTACCAACTTTCCTTGTTCGGTTAACTGATTTAACTTGAAGAGAATGGTTGTCACAAGATTTATATTATCGGAATGAAAATGAAAACATTTAGTGCGGATAGTGAGTCAGTTAGAATGTGGAGTTTAGGTTCTTCCAGAAAAAGGGGATGGAAGAGGGCTGCTCTGATGGCAAAGAGCTCAGCTTGCAAGGAAGAAGCTCTCTCCAAGTTGCAACTTGGAAAGATATTTTAGTGTCGAGGGAGACGAATCTAGTCTCGAGTCTTAAGCCTTCCGGCGCCTTTCCTCCTCGCGGCGCCTGCGACGATCTTCTTCCCACTGACGCCTCTGCTCATCCCTTCGCTGATAATACAGAGCCAGCTGCTCACGCCTGATCTTCTGCTCCTGTATATAGCGTAAAAAGGCCATACCCTCGAGGCCCAGCCTTTCGCCTTCCTCCACATAGTTCCTCATAGTTCCAATGTCAGGGTTCGTTTATGAGGTGATCAGATCGGCCAGGTTAACAGTGAAACACCGGAGGAAACACACGGGAGGAATATTTTCAAAAGGCACTATTTACGCTATACGCAACACAGAGGTGGCAGGTGCAGGCAAGGTCACATGGCGAGCGAGGTCGTCGTTGTCTTGATCACGGAGTACTGGAGAACTTCCGGGAGAACTGACGAATACGATACCATACGATACAAAGTAGAGAATCTGAGATCCTCGTAGGAAGAAAGAGAAAGAACTAAGATAGCAGCTAGCTACCTAAAATGAAGTATTAGAAGCAGGGGATGAAAGGTGGGGGGCGTAACCCCTTGCTGGGCATAAATTGGGGTTAAACAGCCTGTTGCAAGTCAGTTGGTTTTGGTGCGTGTGTGGAGGCTAAAGATGAGTAGTAATTTCCTTCGGTTTCTCTCCCAGCCGGAGTGGATAGCGGCCTTTGCCTTATTTCATTATGTTAATGTTACATAGTTTCCAAAGTACATAAATAGGATAAAAGCGGTTCAATATTGGCGTTCCCTTCGCCTTAAATAGATTTTATACATTTACATAAATATGAAACCTTCATATGCCTACACACACGTACGTAGATATGTACGCATGCCATATAGAGTGTAAATGAAAACAGCACGGAGCAACGCCAAAGAAATCTTGGACAAGCACAAAATATGGGAAACATAAGTGCGATTTTTTCTTTTTTTCTTCTTCTTGTTCTTTTTAACCCTCCTGTGACGATCTGCCATTGCGATCTTTGGTGGCCTGAGCTCTCAAGGGCGATCTGCCTGAGAGGATGAGAGATATGCTTCCTGAGGGATTGGGGTATCACACTCACATATGCATGATTAACATATACAAACTCACATACACATGCACAACGTATGTATATACATGTACACACGTGGTATATGTATATGTGTATGATAGCACATGGCATGCGTATATACACATAATATGAAACCTTCATTGTGTCACATTATAATTCCATCATACACAGCATCATACAAGAAATACAAAAAATACAAACATGAGTATAAAATATTTTTTTTTTTTTTTTTTTTTTTTTTTTTTTTTTTAGGTTAACTCCATCTCGCCAATTCTCTCGTTTATCTGTCCTCGATGTGCGAGAGTTCAAACAACTTTCGCACATTCACGATAAAAAAAAACTGATTCCTCAGCGAATTTGTAAGTAACCGACTTCGCCTCGCCTCCTGTCTCGTCTCAGTCTCCTCACTCGATCCAGAGGAGGTCGTGGTCGCGGCTGCGAAAGGCTGGTGAAGGCTGATGCTTCTAACTCCTCCGTGTTGCAATATTGTCCCAGTGCAATATTGCAACCTTTGAGGATTGTTGGAGGCAGTTTCTGATTTCATTATTTACATATTTACATTTTTTTTTCCATTGACAGGTTCTTCAGGGTCTAAACAGGTTTGTATTTCTTTATTTTTGTCTTTCTCTAATCTCCTGTGTCCTTTGAATGTTTCTTCCGCCTACAGGTTTCGTGAGTACCCGCTTTGACGGTAAGTATGTGGTTATAGCAGTTCTCACTTGGCGTAGTTAGTGTCCGATGTGTAGGGGGTTAAAGTCGTAACACACTTTGGGTGTTATGTGCGACTGGTCACTCTCCTTCTATGTTCTTCCTGTTGTTGTAGGTGTCGCTGATGCTCCCTATCTGTGAGTTTTAGGGTAGTTATCTTCTTGGTAAGCTTCTGGCCCACCAACGGTGTTCCCCCTCTGTGTTGGTGTGTATGGCTATAAGTCGTCCTTAGTTGGGGTCTTCCATATATTCTAAGCGATCCCAGGTTTTCTTCGCCAGTCTGTGGATGCGGATATTAATCGTTTCCATGTTGTATTCCAGGTGTAACTCTCTGATGGAAGGCCGAGGGTTTGGCCATCTTATTCCTTTTGCCCATAGTGTGGCTTTGTTTTGGACAGCTTGTAGTTTGAACCATGATGTTGGGGCTATAGTGTTCAGTGGAATAGGAGGGTATTCCAGTATTGGACGAACGAGTGATTTATACAACCGTAATTTTACATCTTCAGGGCATCCTGAGAATCTTCTTAGCTTGGTGAGGGTGCTGCCAGCGATTTTTGTTCTCTCCTTTGAGTGTGATGATATGCCTGTATTTGTTATCTTTAGACCTAGATTACCTTCCTTGACAAAATCGATATTAGTGCTTCAGAGGTTGGGGTTTCCAGGCTTGATTCTAGAGGCTGGAATGATAAGAAATTTGTTTGTGTTAGTTTTGATTTTCCAAGATTCCTCGAATTTACTTATTTCTTCAATTGCTTATTGGTAGCGAGCCTGATGAAGTTGTTGCGGGAAGAGGGGTGGGTGATAATTTGTGTGATATCCGCATACATAATATAGTTACTGTTCCTTGGTGGAGGTGTAGGTGAGGTGTAGATGATATACAGTGTAGGAGATTAAACACTGCCTTGCGGGACCCAACTTAGGAGAGGAAAATCATGCCTGGTTAGTTTGGCTAATTTCAGTTTTGCTATTTTGTTTTGGAGGAAGCTACAGAGGAGTTTTGTTAGAGGTCTGGGGAGGTTTAGTTGAAGCAGGCGATGTGAGATGCCTGGGTGCCACACCTTGTCAAATCCTTTAATTACATCACGGAGTATGACATTCACTTTGTTATTATTGGCTAGGGCAAGTGCGATTTTTTTGTATGCCAGTGCTATTGCGTTTGTCGTTCCTCTCGATTCTCTGAATCCATATTGCTGTGTTTAGGAGCTGGTTGTTTTCAAGGTGTGCTTTTAGACGGTTGTTGATTATCCTCTCTAGGATCTTTCCAGTTATCTCGAGTAGGGAGATATGTCTGAAGTTCTCCGGTCTATTAGGAGGTTTTCCAACTTTCGGTATAAGTGATCAGTGCTTGCTTGAATATCATAGGGAAATAGGCACAGGTCAGTGATGCGTTGAATTTTGCAGTTAGTCGTTGTATCATTATCAGTGGGAGATTCGTTAGGTCCGTTTTTATTATTTGACTCATGCCTGGGGATTTGTTCTTTATTCTTTTGATCATATTAACCGTTTCATCTGTTGTAATTGGTGAGATTAGTGGGTCATCTATCCTGAGTTTATCCAGGTTAATTATAGGACCTGTGTTCAGGGTGACTGACGACTTTTATGTGGAACCATCGGTGTAAAGGCGTGACACCCTCGTTCCTCACAAGTTGAAGCGACCAATCACGGACGATCTTAGCCCATCTAAGCCTGCCTCACCAGCTCGGGCAAACGTCGCCGAAGATCCTGAGCGACGAAACTCTCACCCGCAGCGTAGCAGTCAATCACAGGTTCAGGAAATTGACGGCGACCGACCAAGGCGATCTCGCAATTGTGACAGGGGCATTAGCTGATCGAAAATAAAATTTGAAGAGTTCACTTATTCTTTCATTTTAACTTTTGCTTATTTTTTCTCATAAAGAAAGAAATACAACAAAAATATGTTTTTCAATGCTTTGAACAGAACGAGACCAACTCCACTACAGTAACTGTCCTGAGCCATCGACGGTATATACTCATGTATTTCTTTTCCCGTTTTAGCTCATAAAAAGTTATAACTTCAAATTGCTATTTAATGAAATAAAAAAAGGAAAAAATCTGACATACAAAATTAAGAAAGTAAAACCGAAAGCCCTTAGAACTAATTAATGCCATGACAATTATAGTTTTACAAACCTTTTCGATGGTGTAGATAAGATAATGCCCCGTGTTTTATTTTTTTTTATTATTTATTATTATTTTTTTTTTCTTATCCACGAAACAGCAAATCAACCGCAAAAAAAACCACCTGCTTGCCTCACCTTCAGTCTGAAGCGCCTTCATCACTGCATAATAATCCTGTAAAAGACCTTAAAGACCATTTTGATCTTGTCCTGCATCAAGCCATATAGGGAAATGTTTTTCAAAAGCTCATGACAACTAAAGTCACGTCAGTATAAACCCCTCCATTATGTAGTAATGGTTGAGAATTAGCTTTGCATGTACTGCCGCTGTCAATCACTCTCTAGTCTTTAGCTAACATGAATGTTTTTTCATTAATGGAGATCTGCCAGGATAAAGTTCACGGCATGTATCAAAAGACCCTCGCCGGAAACGCACATAAACAGACGAAATACGAGTCGATTTAAGGCGTTCAGATAAGTGCATGCGAGCTCCACCCGACAGAGGCGAGAGCCACCAACGAACGTCGACTCCGCCTCAGGGGCCTCGACGCGGATCATCCTCAGAGGAAGCGCCTCGTCTGGCTTAGACTCCTTTCGGCTGCGGTTCACCCAATTCATATTTCCAGACTGGCAGCGCTAGAGACACAAACCCACATTGTCCCAGCCTATTTAGTCGCGTCTTTTGCCCGGTGAACGCCACGTTCTTAGGGACCTCTCCCCCCGCCCCTTGGATAATAAACGATGCTCCAGCCGCTCCTGGTGGTGTACTGCAGGGCCATAACTTATCGCCGGCAGTACAACGCGCACGATCGTCGTCCGCTTCTCTTCTCCAGCTGCGGCCACACCTTCTGCGAGGAATGCCTCAGTAAGGTTTCTGTTGTTCGTCTCTCTGTGAAATCTGTGTTTGGCTTAATGTTTGGTCTCTTTCCTGGTTTGTGTTCCTTTTTTTCCGTCTGGCGTTGTGTTATGTGTCTTTGTTTTCAGTGTCTTGGTGTCTCGTTTTTTTGTTTGCTTTATTTCTGCAATAATTAATATGTTACTGTAAGAGAAGATACAACGGGTAAGTGACAGGGTGAAATATGTACATATATATGTGTTTGTATGTGAAATAATGATTATATGAATGAGTAAATGGATAGGTAGATGAATAAACAAATAAATGCGTAGATAGAATAGATAAAAATATCTTGGAAATGATAAGTTAGAAAATCATTATAGATAAATAAGTGAAATGAAGTGATTTAGAGAAGGCTTGATGAATAAATGGAAAGGCAATGAAATCTTTCCTTCAAGGGACGGAGAACCGCAAGAGTGTCGTCTTCCGGTGCCCCTCATGTCGGCAGGACCGCGACCAGTTCCGGACGCTGTGGCCCAACTTCCCGCTGCTCGATCTTCTCGAAGCGGTACGTGATTTTCGTCTTCTTCCTCTTTCTTAATGTATGATTTGTGCGTGTATGTGTGTGCGTGTGTGTGTGTGTGTGTGTGTGTGTGTGTGTGTGTGTGTGTGTGTGTGTGTGTGTGTGTGTGTGTGTGTGTGTGTGTGTGCGTGCGTGTGTGTGTGTATGTATGTGTGTGTGTGTGTGTGCGCATGTGCGTGTGTTGGTTAGTGCATGTGAAGTTAACCGTGACTAAAGGATAGACGTCCTTCTCAGAGGAGAGTCTAGGAGGCCAAGGACGACGAGGTCAACCTCAAGGAGGGTCTCCGCAAGGACGAGGAAGACAGGCTCTCGCTCGCTCTCCATATGCCCGCCCAGAAGGCCAAGAACGAGGAGGCACAGGCCCGGGAGACGACTTGGGCCAGCGACGTCTCCGGAGCGCAGGGCGGCTGGCAGGAGGAGGCAGAGGGGCGTCCGGGGAAGGAGGAAGCTTACTGCCATGAGGAGACTGAGGGTCATGATGAGAAAAAGCTCCGCCTTGAGAAGGAGGGGCTGAAGAAGAGAGGAAAAAACGCTTGTTATTGGAGGAGGAAGAAGAACTGCAACTGTCTATGGCTCTGTCATTATCTGAAAGCATTTTCTATTCACTAGTTAACATCACTTTACATCACTTTAGAGTTGAGTCTCTCCTTGTCTTGTTTCAATGCTCTTATATGACACATAATTCTTGATACTGTGATAACAGATCATTATTTGCAACTCATTATACTTGTATGAGAGGACATTTACATGTATGCCAAATAGATGCTCCATGTCAGTGCCGGTTAGTAATAGTATCCGTGAATTGTACTCACTTACATTTATATATCAAGTACAACTTATTAAGAGATTATGTAACGTTTATATTCGTGGGAAATATTATACAGGCACATCTCCCGTGTATTTACTCAGTTGATATTAAAAAAATCTAAATGGATTCTGACTTTTTGTCATCCTCACATATCGCCACTGACTGTCCCAAAACCTAAAGATAGTCCCTGTTAACAAAACTAAAAAGGTTTTACAGATGAAACTCGATTGCAATATCTTTTTAGGCTGTAAGAAAGGGAAGAATCTTGCAATTGGAGCACCAAGGGAAATCTGGAGGAAAAGGTGTTGCACAGACAAATATGCCTTTGAAATGTGGAAACTGTAAACTTGAGCATAAGACAAACTTTTCTCTAAGATGTCCTCCCTTCTAGCAACCCGATCCCATTGCATCACCTTCGAAAGGAGAGAAAATTCCTCCAGCTCGGAAAATTAATGTGTCGATTTTGTTTCGCAACGAAAAGTCTTTCAGGTTTACTACCAACTTCAGTATCTGCGATGCCTGCTTTTACACCAGATTCGGTGCTATTCTCTCATCAAAATCAATTTCATCAATTGCCTCCGCAACAGTATTACTGTCTACACTTGAAGTATCGGATGACCTCCCTTATGACCTGTGGATTCTTGTCTTTGTGCGAAGGGGTCAGAAGGATGCGATTACTGGTGTCGGGTTAATTAATCTTGACCAACCCTTCAGTGTGTCAGGCCATTTGTTATGTTCAAGATAAATGGTTGTATATATATATATATTATATATATATATATATATATATATATATATTATATATATAAATGTGTTTCTATTTATACATATATATATTTCACATTGTGTATATATTCGTTTACATGTGTATACGCATGTAAATTATTGTAAAGATACATATACTTGCACGTATATATGCATATATGCGCATACCCATTAGATCCATAATTATTTATTTTATTTATTTATTTTCTTTTTATTCCAACCTACTCTCCTTTCGCATCTTCTAACCACGTGATTCCGCCACGAAACAAGCATTAAACATTTAGACACTTGTTATAGAGGGACAGTGAATTGTTCATCTTGTTCGTTACAAATAACCGTTCAGAAAACTTCGAATCATATCTACTTCATATCTACTTTATTTTATGGAAAGAAAGTGAAAAGTCGCATAATGATTTTTTATTTTTCATAAATCTTTTACTTTGGGAAGAAACTGGTATAATAAGACACTTTTATATTCCTGTGATCCAGTTCAATAGGTAATATCATTATACAGTGCATCATATTCGCTCCTGTAAAGCGAGAGTGCGAAAGGGTGAATATCGCTAACACAGCTATTTTATTCTATATACAAGCGATATGTGGTCTGGTATTACTAATAAAATGTTTGCATATGCTGATGATACTTCTCTCTATGCTGATATTCCTTCTCCGGCAACTAGGCAAATAGTAGCTGACAGTCTCACTGTAGACCTGATGATGATTCAATCGTGGTGCTCTCGGTGGGCATGAAATTAAATCCTTCTAAGTCTAAAGAACTGATTGTGAGTCGGTCTCGAACGCAGTTGCCTCAGCATCCAAGTCTGCTGATTAATGGAGTCTTAATCACTTCAGTGGATAACTTGAAGCTCTTAGGTGTAATCTTTGATTCAAAGCCTACATTTGAATTGCATATTAGGAATATGGCCCGGGCAATTTCATCAAAGTTAGGCATCATTCACAAGTGCAAGAAAATCTATGAAGATAATAACATTACTCGTAGCTGCTTTTCTTTTATTCTGCCTCATTTTGGGTATTGTTCTGTGTGGTTATCTGCTGCTGATTCACACTAAAGACTGCTTGATCGTTCTTTTAATTCCATTAAATTTCTCCAGTCTGACTTAAATTTGGACAGTGGGGCTCTTTCAGTCTTGTACAAGCTTGTAACCGATAATTCACATTCTCTCTATAAGTTTTTACTTGATTTTTATCAACCGGCAAGAGTTACCAGAATGTTCTATGACCCTCAATTCAATGACATTTGATGAAAGTCGATCGTCTACAAGTCAGTTTTCTATATGTTTTTTTTACTGCTATTTGTAGAGTATATTTTTGTTGCGGGAGTTTATAGTCATGTGGGCAATTCTATACTCACATACGAATATGAAACTGACCATAACTCATTATCGACCACTCGGACCCAAAATCCCCGACTCCCCCCCCCCCCTCCTCGCCAGGATTGTCCTTGCCAGGGACTGTCCCCCTTATGCTTTATTCAGAGCAAGCACTGTCATTGCACACTACGAAACACGGCCAACTCCTGTACTCACTTTAGAGTGGATATTAAATGACCTCGAAGACTTGTTTATGGGATCACTACAACTAGAATGAACAGCTGCCGGGATATACAGGTACAAGGTGGTTGCTGTACGATAAGTTCGGTTGCTGTACGATAAGAAAATGTCGCGAAACGTTTAGGAGTGTAGAGAGGCCTTTAGCGAAGCAATCAAGAGCTAAAGTCTTGAGTGATTAGGAGAAGCAAAAACTGCAGAGAAGCCGTGCATTTTTCGGCGGAAAATGCGGTACATAAACAAAAAGGATAAAGTAACATTGCTGGGTCGTCTGCGGCTGAGTGCGCTGATTGGCCAACGGCTGCGTTCGTATCTCTGGCGTCGCGGCGAACCAGCACCGCAGACCTCGGCACGCTTACCGGTCAGCTGACTTGGTGTAGGGTAAATTACACCGGGCGAGGCTGCGCTGATGTTGAGTGCAGTAATTAAGCAGAGCGAAGTAGCGCTGGTGCCGATGTGAGTGTAGCGTCCGCCACGTAAGTATCATTACGAAATAAATTTGTAAGTTCATTTTTGTACACAGTGTTTAATATTATCCCATTTTGTCATTCCTACAGAATAGAACACAGAACAAAGAAGGGAAGCACACCAAACAAAGTGGTAGACGAAACAAAAAAAAAAAAAAAACACATACTAGTGAAATCACTTGAAGGACATCGACACTAGAAATACAATATCTATTCAATAAGAACCCATGCGTCTTGGATAATAATGATACACATAAATGAACATATCAATGATACTGACATATATAAGAATAAAAGTAATTTAATTCGCTTTAAGGTTTTCAGAATTAGTGATGATTGATGCCACACTGATCTGGTTTCAATGATCACAACTAATATTAAATCTATCTGAAATAACCTTTGATTAGATTACAAGAGTAAAGTAATAACGAAGGTTGTTGCTAGGGCTAACTTGAGGCCTAACAAAAGCATAAAAACAGATGTTAATTTATTTCAAAGAATAGCGTACCTTTGTTTCCCAAACTCAACATAAGGCTAAACCAAGTCACGCCCCCACGCCTTGTTAGAACGCAAAGCCAGACTATTTTAAACTAAAATCCTAACTCAACAGGCAGGAAATTTCTCTCGGGACTTCCTTCAACACCAAAACCCTTATCGAAGATATATATTAGGGCAAATGTGGAAAGGTATGAATGAGAACGAATATCTTCACAATATAAGAGATGTATTTTACCGGTTTCGTGTATTTCTGACGGAGATATATTCGAACCCGGTCAAATACATCTCTTGTATTGTGAAGATATTCGTTCTCCTTCATACCTTTCCACATTTGTCAACATGAATACGGTTCATTAGGGCAAATCTTAATGACACTCTAATTCGCTTTTTAACTGGCAGCAGCAATTAAGAAAGATCTATGTTTAATTTTCCTTTTCCTTCATTTCTTTTTATTTTTGACAAAATATTACAAATGCGCACACATATGTATGTATGTATGTATATTACACATGCGCACACACAAACACATATGTATCTTTCTATCTATGTGTGTCTGTGTGCGTTTAAGTTCAAGCATTTACATGGGCGTTATTTGGAGGGGGAGAGAGAAGGAGAGAGGGACAGGGGGATAGAGAAGGAGAAGGGAGAAGGAGAGCGAGAGAGGAGGAAAGAAGGAGAAGGAATAGGGAACTGCCTCCCCCATAATAGTTTTATAAATTTCATATGTAGATCCGGGTATAGCTTTAACACACATAAAATAGTTTTGTTACTCCCTTTAATATTTGTCGCTCCATCCTTTGTAAATTCATGTTTTAAAAGAAAACGTTAGAGGGTAAACTCAAGAATATTGCGAACAAACGCTCCCCAAAACCCTCGTCTATGACCACTCATAGAAACACACAAACGTACAAATCAATTCATACATTACACCTAAGGATAGTTTAATTTCATTCCAGTATTTTAAACATCATTACCACTCCCCCAAAGATGAAAATAGAATAAAATGGCGTATGTGACATTTGGACAGCTGCATGACGCACTCAAAACACGTGAAGACAAAAAATAAGAGAAAAGCCCAACCACTACCCCTTATATGGGTCTGTGTGTATATATGTTAGCATCCACACACATAAATGAATGTAATTATCAGTGTTTATAAAGGGGATAAGCTCCTATTCTGATATTCAAGAGTTGGGTTCGAGTTCACATAATATCGTTATTGTTATATATATATTATATATATATATATATATATATATATATATATATATATATATATATAATATGTGTGTGTGTGTGTGTGTGTGTGTGTGTGTGTGTTGTGTGTGTGTGTGTGTGTGTGTGTGTGGTGTGTGTGTGTGTGTGTGTGTGTGTGTGTGTGTGTGTGTGTGTGTGTGTGTGTGTGTGTTGTGTGTGTGGTGTGTGCGTGTATGTATATGTATATATATATATATATATATATATGCATAATATTTGTATACATACATCTCTCTCTCTCTCTCTCTCTCTCTCTCTCTCTCTCTCTCTCTCTCTCTCTCTCTCTCTCTCTCTCTCTCTCTCTCTCTATATATATATATATATATATATATATATATATATATATATATATATATATATATATATATATATATATATTATATATATATATATATTATATATATATATGTGTGTGTGTGTGTGTGTGTGTGTGTGTGTGTGTGTGTGTGCCCGCGCTTGCATACGTGCTTGCGTGTGTGCATGCATGTGTGTTGCTTCCTTTTCCATGAAAATGATCTTCCGAGAACAGTCAGCTGGCCTTCACTTGAGTGATCTCCTTCAACAACATACTTGTGATAAGCAGAGGTGTCTTTTGTCGCGCTTCGGTTTCAAGTTGATAAGTATTTCTCTTCCAAACGTGTTGACGTGCATTCATTCGCCAGAATACATTTGATAACACAGATTACATACATACATACATACATACATACATACATACACACACACACACACACACACACACACACACACACACACACACACACACACACACACATATATATAT